GCCCCCCCCCCCCCTCCCGGCCCGCCGGCCCAGGGCTGCCCTGTCCCTCCCCGGTCCGCCGCGGGGGCTGCGGCCGCGGGCACCTGACCTTGGCTGGGAACCGAGCCTGGGCAGCCGAGCCTGGGCAGCCGCGGCCAAGGCGCTCCCTGCCCACCCCCCCTTCCGGCCTCAGCAGACTCTCCTTCCATCTCTCCGCTGAGGAGGAAAGGAAACTTTGTGTCCGCGATGGAGCGCTTCCCTCCCCATCCACCCAAGCACACACGCAAAACAAATGCAAGAAAGGCACACACAGATGCCCAAGACACACACATACACACGGGGCCACAGACACACCCACACAGGGCCCCAACAGCTGGTGAGGCTCGCAGAGAGGCAGTCTGAGTTGTACCCTGAAGACTTGGTTCTCCTGGGGCCAGGAGGTAGCGGCATAATGGCTATGTCATGGAACTCCCATGTAACTGACAGCAGTTCGAGGCCTGGACCCGGTGGCTTAAACTCACGCCAGGCTCGTGTGCGTGCGTGCCCGAGATCCCAAGAGGAGAAGGGATTATGGTGTGGCCATCCCCCCCTGGGGGGTGATTTATCGATTTCTGTCTCTCTGTCTGTCTCTCTCTTTCTGACGAGCCCACATGCTCTATAGCAAAAACTTCTCCAAAAAAACCCAACAACAACAACAAAAGACTTGGTTCTTCCATTCTGTCTACCTAAATGGGTGTGCTTGTGTGTGTGTGTGCATCAGTGCGTGTTGTATAGCTGTGTGTCTCCGTGTATTTGTAGGTCTGTGCTTCTCGTGTTTGTATGTGTATGCACCTGGGCATGTGCCTGTTACCACATGCTGCGACTATATTGGTGAGAGGAGGCAATCCCCTCCCACACATTCAGAAAGTTATTTAAGACAAGTACAATAATTCTCCTACAATTATACATGCCCATATTTCTGTATACACACTCCAAAACTCTCTGACATACCCACGTTCATAGGAGGGAGGCCTCAGAAAACCTGTGGAAAATGAAATTAAAGTACGAGTTTATTGCCATGCAAAGAAATTTTGAAATCCATGCCCAGTTTTTTCATAATATACATTTTCATCACCTATTTGAAGACGCCCCCCTCCACACACACACATAACTTCATGCACTCAATTCCACAAACTCTTAGGGAGCATTTACTGTGTGCCAGGCCACCCTGACACAGCAGGGGACAGAACAGTCAGGAGGTCCTGCCCTCCTGGAGCTGGCATCCTGGAGGAGAGACTGCCTCCAAATGCCTGGTGAGGAGAACCAAGGAGAAAAAGTAAGGCAGAGAAGGTGGCAGGAATGGAGGCTGGTTCCCAAGCCGATCAAGGCTCCGGAAATGGGGAGAGGTGTTTGAGCGACAGACATGAAGGAGGGTGGGAGCAAGCCATGTGCGTCTGCGGGAAGGCAGTTTGAAGTAGGGACCGGGAGGGCACAGTTCCTGGGTAGAGTGTGCTGGTGTGTGGTTCCAGAAATGCCAAGAAGCTGGCATGGTGGGAGCCGAGTGAGCGAGGGAAGGGGTTGGTAGGAGGTGAGCTTAACACCGTGCTCACGTGGGACCAGCAGTTGGTGTAATGGCTGTGTCGCTGGACTCCCATGTAGTCAACTATGGTTCGAGTCCCGGACCTGTTGGCGTAAACTCACACCGGGCGAGTGTGCATGCGTGCCCAAGATCCTGAGAGGAGAATGGAGGAGGAGGGATTGTGGCGTGACCATCTCTCACTTTCTGTCTCTCTCTGTCTTTCTGGCTAGCACACGTACCCTATAGCAAAAACGCCTCAAAAAAAAAAAAAAAACACAGCTAAAAAAAAAAAAAAAAAAAAAAAAGAAAGAAACGCACTCACGCTTCTACTCACCCACCCTGAGGGTGTTTCCTTACATGTGTGTCTGCCTCTGTGTGTGCCTATGCTTGTGCATGTATGTGAGTATGTGTGTTTCTGCATGTGTCTCTATGGGGCGTGTGAATGTAAGTGTGTCTGCATGGTGGGGGATTAGGGCTGAGGCTGTGCTCCTGTTGTATTGGCACCCCCACTCTCCCTTTGAGTCATTGCCTCGTGGGCTAGACTGGTCCTGGTGAGGCCCCCTGTAGCAGGAGGTGGCCTGGTGTGACCCTGTGCTCTTCCTTACAACTCCCTAGGCCTGAACAAGACAGCTTCTTTCTCCTGTGAAGCCCACAACGCCAAGGGGGTCACCACATCCCGCACGGCCACCATCACAGGTAACAAGAAAAAAATGTGGGGAGCTGATTTCGAAGGCTGGGGCTGGGGCCAGGGGCAGAGCGGGGAGGGGCAGAGAGCAGAATGGGGAGTTTGGGCACAGGTCCCTGGGGTCAATTCCTCCCCTTATCTGTCCACAGTGATCCCCCAGCAGCCCCGTGACCTCCACCTGGTTTCTCGCCAGCCCACGGAGCTGGAGGTGGCTTGGACTCCAGGCCTGAGTGGCATTTACCCCCTCACCCACTGCACCCTGCAGGTAAGACCCCAAGACTTCGCTCACCTCAGTCTCAGCTCTCCTGCTATCCACACCCACAAACCTCCAGCCCATCTCTGGGAAACCAGCTCTTTCCAGTTGTCGGGGTGTCTCGAAGTCAGCCAGGTGTCTTGAGTTCCCACCTGCTGGCTGCCTGAACTTTGCCAAGTGACTTAACCTCTCTGAGCCTCAGTTCTCTCATCTATAAAATGGGCATACCAGTGGTACCTACCTGGTAGGTCTGTGAGATTTCAATGAGTGAATGCAAGTAGCCAGCTTAGAATATCGGGTTGTCAGAAAAGTCACGATGCATGATGCAATAGAATAGGAAAGTGCCAGCCAGTGGTGTGGTGGTTAAGATGGCTGGATCCCACCCTGCACAGTTCGAGTCCCAGACTCAGCAGCTTGAAAAACATGTGGGGTGCTTGTGCGTGTGTGCCCCAAATCTGAGCAGGATGAGAAATGGAGACGGAATTGCAATGTAACCATGCCTCTTATAGGGTGACTTCTCTCTCTCTTTTTTCCTCCGGCAAGCACACACACCGCCAATTTTTTTTTAATGCACATAATAAAAAGACTATGCCTAGATTTCAAAAACTTTTCCACCAAAATGAACTAATACTTTTTATATTTTATTTATTTATTTATTAAATTTATTCATTCATTTATTTTCACTTGACCAGGGGCAGAGAGAGAAAGAGAAAGGGAAAGTGGGAAAGCAAGCCACTGGGTCCGGGATTCGAACCATGGTCAGTCATGTGGGAGTGTCCAGCGCCGTAAGCACCATGCCACCTGCTGGTCCCATGAACTAATTTGGGCATGTTTTGTAAAGGGAGAAATGGAAAAAAAGGATTGTAGTGTCACCATGCCCCACTGGGGGTGCTGCTTCTCTCTCTCATGTGTACACACACAACCTCTAATAATAAAAATAAATAATAGAGGCTGCGGGACCAGCAGGTGGCTTGGTGGTTGGGGACACTGGACTCCCATATGCCAACCGTGGTTTGAGTCCTGGACCTGGCAGCTTGCTTTCTCACTTTCTCTCTCTC